TGCTCCTCGCCAGGTCCCCCCACAACAGTCCTCACATTCCCTTTATCACATCCAAAGCTGGCAAACAGAAGAAAATGCTCTCAGCAAGTACAGATTCCTCTCTGGCTAAATATCCAACACACCTGGCCCGTGAGCTTACCCCTGAAACTGGCCTGAGAGTCTCAAGGCAGGCACCCAGGCCAAAGCTCAAGTGTTTCCTCAACCTTGCTCCAGGTTTCTATTAGTACATATTTGAGGAAAAGGATCTTTGGAGACTGAAAGGGCAGAGGAAGAGGATCCCACATTTTCTTTGCCTGGTAAGCAATGTGTGAGGACTAGTGATTATTAATAGCACAGATAGACATTACACCTTATTAATTGGGACTGCACACTGTTCCCGAGAGAAATGAAAACATGCTCCTGACGCGTTTGCCAGGGAGGTACGTCAGCTCTGCACCCTGGCATTACTCAGGAGAAAGGGAAGCAGCTCATGACAAGCAAAGAACTCTCCTCTCCTGCCATCAATTCCAGTGCTGAATACCTTTAGCCTGTGAAATACCTAAACTACTATTTCATGTTTAGAAACTACCAACAGCAGTTCATGGAGGGGCCAGGAATACACCTCTCAGCTGGGCGGGCAGCCCTACAAGGGACAGTCCCCAAAACTGCCCCAAAAGAAATGCCTGCCCTAAGTCTCCAGTGGGTGGAGGATGGGGAAAGTTATTCCCCTCTAGCATGGGTAACCTCACAGACTAGTCCTGGGTGAGTTGAGCACAGCTACAGAGAGCAGCATACCAGCTGCAGCCCCAGCCTTGCCAGCACAGGGCCACCACCATGGGCAGTTCTGAAAGCCCTTGTTTTGAGAAATTCAGGATCATTGCCTCTGCTCCAACAGCAGCCAGGGTGGTGATACGCATAGGGCAAGATACCAGGACACACACAATCTGGGTTTTAGTGGTGGGAAAACGGTGATATGGTTCCTGCATTTGGTTTTTGCTTTGTTCCCGTCTTTGGTTACCACCATACTAAACTTTAAGGCCCCATCGGGGTCAGCAAGGGAGGCACTTGCCACAGCCAGAGTGAGGGGGTCCCTCCCTCTGTGGCTTGTTTGGTTGCAGCCCACACCACGTAAATCTCCTGCATTATGAAGGTGTAAAGTTCCCCCGACCGACTGTCAGGCCACTTCCCCCCGGGCCACTGCAGCCCGGCATGAACCGAAGGGTTTTTTTTTCTTTTTACCCCCTAAGAAGGTCAAGCCGCCCGCGGC